CATGAGGAGTAGTTTGCTTTTCAAAAGTTTAAAAAAAACAAAAAAAAACCCTTATCTCTTAAGGCCCAGATGACTGATAACAGAAACACTTGTATATGAAGGAAGGAAGCCTCAGCATGGTAGCAACATCCTGCTCCTGTAAACCGTGGAATTGCTTTGTGGGGAGTCAGGGCCTGCTGGTCAATGAGTTTGAACTTACTTTGAGTTTATTGACTGGCAGGCTCAACCACAGTAGTCCAAATGGAAGACATCATGCCTATCAAGTGAGGATGGATATATGGCCTGGCTTTGCATGCTCAGCAGCTGTCTTCTGAGAATTAACCCACTGACTGACCCTTTATTGCAATTATGCTAATTCTGTAAGGTGAAAGACCACGTTATGTTTGCTGTGCTATTGTCACAATTTGTGTGGGAGAAGGTGTGGCATGGGTTCTGCATCCAGGATAGTGATTATCGCTATTCCTTTGGCATTTGGCATTTGGAATGAGTGGTGGAGGTGGATCTTACCTTGTGACCTTCTTTACTCAAAGTTATGTGTACTAGTGTTATTTGTAAAATGGAGAGGAATTGGTCCTGAACATGCAGAGGACTGTTTATTGTGCAAAACAGTATTTTAAAACTTTTTTAATTGTTTTATTTTATTTTGTGCAGGGAACAAAATGTTTCTTGTCAGTGCAGGAATCTTCTTGTTAGGCTTTTTTTTTTTACACTCAAGATATATTGTTTTGAACATTGTTGAATATTCTTCCCATCCCTGCCTCAGAAAGCCTCTTTTATTATGTTATTATAGGAAATATGGAGATTTCCCCTTCTAGGAAGGTTCTTCTTCAACAACCAAAAATGTTGTGGCACAGTATTCTACCAGGTTCCGACATGTTCATTTACCCATTGGCTTCTGGGAAGCCTCCCTTGTGGAACTTAGAGACTGAATTGGGAAATGTCTAGAAACAGTAATTAGTTCGTTCACACCAAGTTATCTTTTATATGATGCTGCTACAGATATAGATCAGTTGTGGTTTGAGAAACCGAACAGCAAACAGGTAAAACGCCAGAATGTGCATGCAGCTGCTTGGTATTTCATCTATCTATATCATCTAGCCAATTATCTAGAAATCAGATACTGTTTATCAGTGATTGGTGTTTTGTTTTGCTTTTCCCATGAAGTTTGCAAGATGTGAATTCCCTGGCCTAAGGCCTTCCCCTCCTTCCCCTTCTCTTTCTTAAAAAAACAAACAAACAAACAAACACGGGGGGGGGGCTTCCACACAGGCCAAAATGTATATTCCTCTTACATTTTGAGGCCAGATTTTGTGTGTGTGTGTGTGTGGGGGGGAGGGGGGGTGCCGGTGGTACCATCTTTTAACCTGGAGATTCATATACCTACCTGTGCCAATGCATATTGGGAAGAGTAGGCAGGGGCATCAGCACTAACCCCTCCCTGTCCCATGTTTTGCATGGAAAATAATATAAAATGCCTCCTTCTCTAGGCAGGAAACATGTTTTAGCTCCGGCAAGCTGATAAATGAATTCCCTCTCTAAGGCTACCTGGCATCATTTAGCAGTGATGGAGTTAAGACAGGCTTCCTGCAAAAGTAAGGAAGTATTTTCTCTTACTTCTTGGGCAATATAAAGGGCGGGGGGAATCTGATACTGCCATTCCCCCTCCCCAGGCTGCATAAGCCCAGAGAGCACAGGATTGCTGTGGAGATGCCTCCTGGAGAACACTATGGTGATTCCAAGAAGCAGGTCTGGACCTTTGCAGGAAGTTTTTAACCTGGAACAAATCTGAATAAACAGGTTTATTCCAGGTTAAAAATCCATCATTTGGTCATCCCAGGGGCTAATGTGACTGTTATGCCACATGATGTGGCAGTGTAGGTGGGACCTGGGAAGGAAAATGAAAGGAAGAGTGAAATTTAAATCAGGAAAATAACAGATCTCCCTAGTTACTTTATCTACATGTGATCTAGAAATTAGAACAGCAGCAGTAAATAGACAGTTTTGCCCATTGGCTATCTAGACAATCTACTCTATCTGTGCAGATAAGATAGCTTGGATTTGCCCTGTGTTCCTCTACAACCTTCCTATTCCCAGATCTGTAATCAAGCAAATCAGATCATCTGCACTTTTTTTTTTTTAAAAAAAAAACTTGGCTGAAGAAGCTGACCAATGAAATTGGACCACACACAAAAATAAATGTAGAGAACATTACCATGGCCACTCAAAACAGCTTCCCCATCTGCCAAGTTCAGACAAAAGCACTCCAGAGACAGTGGAATCTGGAAGAAGTGTCAGGAAACTACAACACCTGTGATGATATCCTTTTAAAGCAATCTTTCAGTTTACAGATTTTTGAGAGCATTTAACCTACCCATGTGAAAACAGTTTTAACAGGACGCATGCAGGGATGGTGCAATTAATGTTAAAACAAGTGTTGCCAACATTTGCTAATTAGGAAAAGACTGAGTTGGCTCCCGTTGATCCTCAAAGAATCCTGACTGCTGAGAAACTATTACAAAATGTTTATATCATCATTCAGTTCTCCTCTGTAACTCTCTCATGACTGTTTTTTTGTTTTCTTGGTTGATTTCCCCCTTTGGTGATAAAACAAGAGCTAATTTTTTTTCAAACATATTCTTAGTATATTCAATGCTTTTTTTTTCATGTCAGGAGCGACTTGAGAAAGTACAAGTTGCTTCTGGTGTGAGAGAATTGGTCTTCTGTAAGGACATTGCCCCGGGGATGCCCAACTTTTTGATGTTTTACCATCCTTGTGGGAGGCTTCTCTCATGTCCCCGATGGGGAGCTGGAGCTGACAGAGGGAGCTCAACTTGCTCTCCCCGGATTTGAAGCGTTGACCTCTTGGTCAGTAGTCCGATCTAATGAAAATTTTCTAACAAAATACATTTTACCCACAAACCTTAATGTTTTACACAAGACAAGATTCAGATTTAAGTGTGCATAGATTAGATCTATGCAAATAATTAGATTAATAGATAAATCCACATATTTAAATTGTTACTGTTTTGCTTTGTGATCATTTTAATGCTCATATTTTTCCTGCATTTGTTGTACACAGTATTTTACTGAGCGGAACCTCAAAACCATCTAAATCAATTTTGTTTATTTACTGTGTTTACATAGCTGCCCTATAACTCAAAGTCTCTTGGTGGCTTCCAAAGCAAGTACTATATTATAATACAATATAAAACATATTAAAAATGAAAACAAATGAGTGAGGAAATGGAAGAAAATAATGGAAATTGTGATTTTTGCTGTAACAGAAGAGCGCTAACATCATTCAAATGAGCACACAGTTCATGTGGGACATTAAGTCTAATAGTCCTTGGGACATATCAGTGAGGATAAGCAGTTTTTGATGGCAGGAAAAAAAAACAATTCGACACTTACTGCATTAATGTATGCATAGAGCTTAGAGATATTAACAGATCTCAGAGCCAACATCCCTAGCACCAAAAAACTTTATAAGTCAAGGTTGTTCAGCAGCAGAAAAATGTAAAGAAATACTTTCGTTTTCAATGAGAAAATAACATCTTGATATATTACAACATGTTGTTGAAAAATGAATAACTTCCTGTGATGTTTTTTCACAAATTTGGACCATTCTTGTTAAAAATTAAAACACTGTTGACTCAGCCCAAACTGGGAGAGGGGCTTTGTAAATTTTCTTCTTCTTTAAAAATGCTCTTTTTTAAAATGAGAAGGGTGCAGATATATTTGTGATCTTAACAAATGTTGTGTGAAAGAGAGAAAGCATATTTGAATTGAACAATTAAAAAATAGAACCAGATTAAAACATGTGTCACTAAAATATACACACACCTAAATACACACATCAACACATCAGTTACCAAGATCCAGTGCAATATTTAGGGGATATGGGACTTATAGGGTGATCCAACAAATAAATATCTACAAAGATCTGTGAAGAGAAAGCGGATGTCAACTGAATTTTTCTGGGAGTTCCAGAGCCTAGGGCAGCTTTTGAGAAAGCTTTTGCCCATGTTCCTACTTGATGTATTTATTTATTTATTTACAACTTTTCTACCCTGCCTTTCTCACCCCAGAGGAGACTCACTATACCATTGAGGGTGGTAGGACAAAGGGCACATTTACACTGACCACTTAATGTGAAGGGCCAGAAAATCAGCTAAACAGTACATACAGCTAATCCAGGTTAACATGGCCAAAGCTGCTTAATACAGACTCGAACTGCTTTAAACAAAATTGCAAATTGCTCCTAATTCTAACAATCTAGAGCAACCATGAGTTTGGACCCATATAAACAGACTGGTTCCAAGACAGAACTGTCTGCAAATGTTTACACAGCCATATCATGTTCCCCAGGTTCAGACAATCACCATCTCTTCCCGTTTTCATTGTGACAGCCAGCTGATACAACATGGGACATACCTGTTGCTCCTCAACAGAAGTGATAAGGCTATTGGAGAAGGGGATGAGAGGAGGGAGCAATTCCTGCTCTCTTCTCCAATCACTTCAATACTTCTGCCAGTGTTACTTCTCCCAGCAATGAGTGAAAAGGTGCTGGAAATTGGAGATGATGGCAAGGGTGATGGCAACTGGCAGCACAAAGCTCATGTTGTCATTGCTCGATGGTCAAAACACCCTCCCACCTCTGCAGTGGCCAGGTATGGGGGTAGCAGTTGAAACCATTTCAGAAGTGATCCAGTGTTCATCATGCTGGATCAGCCCTGGGATAAGTGGCTAACACAGAACTGCCCAGAGAAAAGATCCTCACCAGCAGATCTCAAATAAGAGGTAGTTGCATCAGGCTATTTTATTGTAATGCTTGGCTGCCTAGAAGGAGCTGGGAGGAAAGAGGGAGGAATATTTCTGACGTCATCAATTAGAACAAGAATGTATGTAATTTGACCACGGCTGTGTTGCTTCTCAAAAATGGAATACTATACTTTTCTAGCTATAGTAATGCATATCAATTATGTTCAGTAATAACTTACCTCATGCAGCCTTAAGTATGATGGCTCTGCCTGCCCATCTCCCTTTATGTAGGCAATTCTGTACCATTGCCTAAAATCTCACCAGGAGACTGAGAACAATCCTCTTCCAATTTAGTTTCACATATTCTAAAAGATTCATTCTTAACTGAGCAGAAAAAAATGAGTCTTTTCTTCCTGGAAGAAAATACTTTGAATCAAATTCCACAGAACCGGAGAGCTACCAGCTATGGAAATTTGCGGGGCGGTGGGATGTCTAGAATAATGACTGCAAATGATACACTAAAAGCATGGCTATAGATAATCAAGACGCTCCAAGAATTTTTGATTTTACAGCTGTTCAGGGAATAAGCACACAATAAAAGAGCTGCCCCTTCAAAATGTAATGCAAACTGAATTTCACACATGCTAAAAATAGCACTGACTTTGGGTAGGGGGAACAAGGGCAAAGGTAATAGCCATCAGGATATCATCAGGGCTGTAGAAAGAAGGCACAAAGGCCAGGCTAATAAAAAGATGTGAGGGAGGAATGGCTCTGCTTTTTGCTTTGTTCTTTTTTATTGTTCTTAAGGTAAAACATGTGCAGACAAGTCATTTTTTGGCTTCTCTTGAACCAAGTAACATGCAGCATTCTGGTATAATAAAGTGATTTCAAAGGGCTGTTTGTATGTTTGAGGTGAAGGTATTTAATCCCTCTTCTCCTTTTCTTCCTCCTCCTCTTCCCCTCCCTCTTTCTTTCATCCTGTGAAGTTTTTAATGCCATCACAATATAAGTTGGGGCAGACTGGAAAACTGAATCTAGTGTTTAAAAAAAGGTTTGGAGAAGTTACTTTTTCTTAACCTTTAAGACTACCCCAAACTCTGGTGTAAAAACAAGCAAATATTATTACCTCAGTAGGAAATGTGTCTCCATTGTATTGCATTTGCAACCACATTGCTTCTGAGCTCATACGTTCTGTCTCGGTACCATGGCAAATAGCTATTGGTAGACTAACTCCCCATGAATTTGTCAATGGAGGTGCATGTGTGATCTAATTTTATAGGTAATTTAACCGTTTGATTGTTTTCTTTCAATGAATCTTAGGGTTTTGTTCTGATGCAGTAATGGCACCTATGCATTCATACTTTGAAAAAATAGTAACCAGTATCCTATAACACTGACTTAATCATAAAAGGGTGACTACATAATGTCGCATCCAGATTTCAGACTACATCAGACAGAGATGGCGAAAAAGGGGGAAAGTGGGGGAAATTATCTTCTTTACATGCAGAATTGTCTTTGTGTGGTATTCCTTCCTTAAAGAAGAATTTAGTTACCCCCATCACACAGCATGACCTCCTTCCAGTTAAACCACCCACTGGAAGAGACAGGAGGCATCATTCTTAAGGCAGACACTATTTCTCTCCATGGGCTCCTCTGTTCTTCCTCCCAATTAACTTACTCTCAAGGACACAGGAGACATCATTCTTAAGGCAGACTCTCTGGGTTCCTTTCCTTCACTGAAATAATTCATCTCACGTATTTTTCCCTGCTTTCTCCCATTTCCACGTGAATCATAAGCACAGAAAATGATTTCTACCCATCTCCTGTCCCCACTCCCATTTTCAACATGTCTAAAATAGTTCACTAGCAAAGTATCATGGACGATAATCAAAAGTCTGTCTGTGTCATTTGATGGGCTCTGGGGTACTTCATCAGGGAACTGTTTTAGAAGTGTATAAGAAGAGGGGAAAGGTTGCATGTGATGAAATCCTTAGATTTAACAACCCATTGGATGTCTGGTTTATTGGTGACTAGAACTCACCAGTGATCTGTGGTGCAAGAAGGAACTGTGACAGGAGTCTGGCTTCTGAATGTCCCACTCTCATTCACTGTTGGGTAGAGACTAGAAACACCATCTTGGTGAGAAAATGTATCCCCTCCTTCACTTAAAGAAGGGTGTCACTGTTGAAAGGAAGAGCAAGTACCTCAATTTTGTATGGGATGTTGAATAACATTGAAGAGTTGATGAGGAATCTGAATAGAAAGTTGTATTCTGAAATGGAAACTGGTCTTAGCCTTTTTAATGTAATTGTATCATAATTGCTTTTAGGGTATATGTTGTAATGTTTTACTTATGGTTTAGTTTACTATAATGTTGTGCATTATCTTGTATCATTTTGATGTGTTTGTATTCATTTGAGGCATTGACTGTTTGCCTTTTTGTTTTATGTCTGTAAACCGTGCTGTGTCCCTTCGGGGAGAGGGGGCTGTCTAGAAATAAAGTATTATTATTATTATTATTATTATTATTATTATTATTATTATTATCATCATCATCATTATTATTAACCTTACCTGCATCTTTCTCAGATCTATTTGTAATGCTATTTCCTTTGCCTTCTTTTTTGGAATGGAAGTGAATGGATTTTGTGGTTGGTCACGTCCAGATCCAGATGCATTGAATAAACTATTTGAGAAATATATTTTATTTATTATTATTTATTTATTTCCAATATTTCTATCCCACCCTTCTCAACCTGCATGACAGGTAAATGCATCATAGAATAAAGAGCAGAATGGAACAATGGGTTAAAACAAACATGAAAAGAACTGAAAAATCTAGTTACAATTGTGTATTTTTCATTATTTATTTACAGTCTAAGTGGCAGATGGTTGAGAGCAAATATGCCAGTTTAGCAGATTTCTAGGCAGAAGCTGCTGAGCAGTACATAGCCTTTCAGATTTGATCTTTTCACTAGCAGTTAGTAAATTGTGAACCATTTAGATTGTCTTAATGCAGCTCTTGAAAACAATCATAACACCTTAGAAACATAGCATGTTGTCATCCCAGAAAATAGTCCTTAAAAGCATTAATATTACTTCAATTGATTGCATCGTGTGGTAAATGCCAAAGGGTGTTCAAAGACTCTTCTTAATTCAGGGAAATAAACAAGATTTAATAATTGTATCTTTCTTCACAAGATTGTATTGCAGCTACTTAAATAATAATGCAGTTGAGGTCGTTTAAAACTAGTTTCTGTTAAAAGCTCTCTACTTCTCTGTAGATATATTCTAACTGACCAACTCACAATAATTACACTCTTTGTTTTTTCCTTGCATTGGATTAAGGGTGCATTTACACTGTGGAATGAATGCAGTTCGATACCACTTCATTGCCATGGCACAATGCTATGAATTCATAGGAGTTGTAGGCCTTTAGCATTCTCTGCCAAAGAATTTTTGTTACCTTATCAAACTACAATTTTCAGGATTCCAATCCATAGTATTGAGCCATGACAATTTAAATGGTGTTAAACCGCATACATGCTACAGTGTAGATGCCTCCTTGGTTTGTCTTTTTATCTCACATCCCTGTCAAGAAAACTCCAAGAATAGCTTACTTGAAACTAGAAATGACACAATAGTCCCTGCCCACATGTTTGTAATCTAAAACATGTTGGATGAAGGGAAAGAACAGAAGGATGTGGAGGAAAGAAAGACACCACCCCTAAAAAAGTCATCCTTAAGAAGGACTATTTACATGAAACTGACTCTTGTCTTTTTTTTTTATCCCTCTTGCTACCAGCTGGTGAAATAGCAGTTTGTGATAAAAGTCAAGGGAAGAGCTATCATGAAGGTAATCTTCTAGCCTGCTTGGTCCCGCTTCCCATACTGTTTACTGTACTAGATTGCCAAAGTGGCTGACAGTATTAGTACCCAAATGATGCATCTTTTAAAGATTCTTGGAAATGTAAAAAGGATAGAATTCTTTCTACTAATTCAGGGAAGTGAGTGCTACGTGTGAAAAAGATCTTGGAGTCCTCGTGGACAACAAGTTAAACATGAGCCAACAATGTGATGTGGCGGCAAAAAAAGCCAATGGGATTTTGGCTTGCATCAATAGGAGCATAGTGTCTAGATCTAGGGAAGTAATGCTACCCTCTATTCCGCTTTGGTTAGACCACACCTGGAATATTGTGTCCAATTCTGGGCACCACAATTCAAGAGAGATATTGACAAGCTGGAATGTGTCCAGAGGAGGGCGACTAAAATGATCAAGGGTCTGGAGAACAAGCCCTATGAGGAGCGGCTTAAGGAGCTGGGCATGTTTAGCCTGAAGAAGAGAAGGCTGAGAGGAGAGATGATAGCCATGTATAAATATGTGAGAGGAAGCCACAGGGAGGAGGGAGCAAGCTTGTTTTCTGCTTCCTTGGAGACTAGGACGCGGAACAATGGCTTCAAACTACAAGAGAGGAGATTCCATCTGAACATGAGGAAGAACTTCCTGACTGTGAGAGCCGTTCAGCAGTGGAACTCTCTGCCCCGGAGTGGTGGAGGCTCCTTCTTTGGAAGCTTTTAAACAGAGGCTGGATGGCCATCTGTCAGGGGTGATTTGAATGCAATATTCCTGCTGCTTGGCAGGGGGTTGGACTGGATGGCCCATGAGGTCTCTTCCAATTCTTTGATTCTATGATTCTATGAATCTATAATTCTATCCCAGATGGACTTTCCTTATGGAAAACAGCCATTTTAAAAGTAGATGGTATTAAGGCATTTTTTAAAAAAAAGGTATGTTTTTTTACCAGTGTTATAAAACTTCATAAACCAGATATGTGACAAGGAATGGTGTACATTAAAAACACAGAGATGCTTCCTTATGACTTATAAATGTGCATAATGTGTATCCATGGGCCACAATTCTCTTGGAGAATGATGTGTGTCATGCAAAGCATGCTTAAACAAACATCCCTAATTCCTTTTGCTCCTCCGTGGAGTTTCACTTTTTGTATTTCTCAATCATTGTTGGCAAACCTGGCGTGATAACTGCATTGTCTCGGTACTTGAATTCAGATTTTAATCTGACAGAAACTCAGCAGAAGTTTTTATATGCATTAGAGACAGTACGGTAAGGGGATTGGGGGAGTGGAGGATGCCTTACCAGGTCCCTGACACTAGAATAAGACAGGGAAAATGAAGCAAGCAGACCAGCAGTGGAGAAAGTTTGTGACGCCCACAGGCTTCAAAGTATGTCAGCTATTTGATGGGCATTTCTTGTAAGCCTTTAAATGTTAATGTGCTGAAAGAGGAGGTAAACATCCCAAAAATGGCAGCTTCAGATAATATAAAGTGCCTCTCCAGTCACCCCCTGCCTGGTACT